GCGGGTGGGCGGCCCCCCGCGCCCCCCCCGGTGGCAGCCGTGGGCTCGGTGACGGCGGCTCCTCATCACCCGTCGTCTGTGCCAGCTGCCGCAAAGCAACAGCCCTGTTATACCACGGTGTCACCGCCTGCCACCAAAAGCCACATCCTGAGGTCCCGTCCCCTCCTACGGTGGCACCCTGCACATGGGTCCCTGGCCCCAGCGGGGGCTCACAGTCCCCAGGCCAGTGGCCTGATGGTGGGCGCCAGCCAGGGGTGGGTCACCCCCAGCTCTGGGTGCCAGTGACCCCACCAGCTCGGGTATGCAGGAGCTGGTGGCTACTGGGAGGACCCCAGTGAGCGGCTGGGACACAGTGCAGCCCTGGGACCTGCACCTTGGGCTCAGCGCGGTGCCAGGGCCCTCCAGATTTGGGGTAACGATGTTGAGCTGAGCCAGGCAGGCACTCCTGGGAGCCACCCCGGCGTTGTCCCCTACTGAGGGGGCTTGGGGACAGTGGGGGATGCCAGCAGGCAGACGGGGTCTGTTTTGGGGCCGTGGTGCCCGGCGAGTGGGATGCCTGACCAGGGCCAGAGCTGGGTGCCACGGGAGGGGCTCGGTGATCCTGGGGTGCCTGTCCCCTCCTCCTGCACCCAGGGACGGCCCCAGCACCATAGGGAGCAGGTGGAGGTCCTGCGGTGTGTCCCACTGAGAGGGACAGGAGGAGGGACACTGTCCCTGGCAGCCGGGAGGTGACCATGTCCCCAAGCAGGCAGGCAGAGAAGGATTGTGTCCCCGAGCAGTCTTGTCCCCAAGCGAACAGAGGAGGCTCCTATCCCCAAGCAGGCGAAAGTGGCCGTGTCCCCAAGCAGGCAGAGGGAGACCCTGTCCCCGAGGAGCCAGAAGATGCCCGTGTCCTCAAGCAGGCAGAAATGATCTTGTCCCCAAGTAGGTACTCAGGGATCCTGTCCCCAGGCAGGCAAAAGTGATCTTGTCCCCAAGGAGCCAGAAGATGCCCATGTCCCCAAGCAGGCAGAGCAAGCAGAAAGCAATCCCGTCCCCGAGCAGGCAGAGCAGGCAGGAGGAGCACAGGTTGGCAGCGAGCACAAGGTGGCTGGCACATGGGGTGACGATGCCCTGAGGGTGGCAATGCCCTGTGGGGTGACGATGCCTCACAGGGTGATGATGCTGTGTGGGGTAATGATGCCTCGTGGGGTGACGATGCCCCATGGGGTGACAACGTCTTGCAGGGTGACGATGCCCCGTACAGTGATGATGTCTTTTGGGGTGATGATGCCCCTTGGGGTGACGATGTCTCTTGGGGTGACGATGCCCCCTGGGGTGATATCCCCATGGGGTGACGACGCCCAAGGGATGATGACGCCCCAAGGGCCACGTGCTGTGGGGTCAGCCAGGAGCGCCGTGGCTGTGTGTCCGTGGGCAGCTCTGCCCGACGTCCGCTCTGTCCCGGGTCAGAGCCAGCCCCGCTCCCAGGGCTGGGTGCTTGGAAAGCCGGGTGCCACGTGGCCGGGGCCGTGCGGTGTCCCCGTGGGTTTCTCCCGGAACACACGCTGCCTCGCCGACAGCAGAGGGTGGTGGCCGGGATCTGCCTGCCCCAGGGCAGACGCTCCAGCTCCGGCTGCTGCCCCCATCCCAGACACCCAGGCACCCATGGGTGTCAGCCTCTGCCAGCTGGCCCGAGCCTGCTCACGGGGAAGCAGGGGTGCTCCGAGCCGCGAAGGGGTGAAGGGGAAGGTGCAGCACCCGCGTGCTTGCCCGGCCTTTTTGGGGTCATTTAGCATTTATTCAACTCAAGGCAAGGAACAAGGCAAGGGTTGGGGGTGCGGGGAGCCGTCGCCATGCCACGGTCACGGGGTCTGCCAGGAGCCTGTGGGACATGCGGGGAGACCTTTTTTGCTGCCGGGGAAGGAGAAAGCTAAACTCGAGAACTGACCAGCTCTGGTCCATCGGTGGCGGGCGGAGAGGCGTCCCGTGGGCTCGCGCCCTTCCTCTTCTGCTCCTCTTCTTCCTCCTCGGACCTGCAGCAGGGAGGCAGCCTGCTCAGCATCCCCAGCAGAGCGTGGCACCCCCAAAATCCCCGTCCCAGCCAGCTTGCTGGGAAAACACAGCCACAGTCCCGCAGGGACCTGGGCCTGGCTGCCGCTCTCCTGTCCCTGACAAGGGATAAAACCCCAGCACGGCGGGGCTCGACCTTCACCGCTGCTCTTCACCTGCGTTGATTTACTGCTCCCAAAGGGCAAATTGCTAAAAAAACCCTTAATGCTTTGAGAAGAGGGATGCTGGAAACGATGCCCAGGAGCTGGCCGGGTGCCACAGGCTGCCTCTGCCCAAGATGCTGCCGCAGCTGCCTGGGGGTGCCCCATCCCGCGCCAGCCCCTCACGTAGCGTCCGCCCGCCCAGGAGCTCCAGCTGCCGGGGAAAGGGGCGAAGGCATTAGGGGCTGCCAGGAACATGGGGTGGGAAAACTGAGGCAGGGCAGGCAGAGGGGAGCCAGGACCGGCTGTGCCCCATCCTGAGCCTTCCTCACCGTCGTCAGCTTCCTCAGGGCAGCGATGCGCTCCTCCCAGGTGGCCGAGGACTTCTCGAAAGCCTCGTGCCGCTTGAGCAGCTTCTCCACCGCGTCCACCGTCTGCCCGTAGTCGCTGCTGGCCAGGTAGGGCTCCTGCGCCATGAGCCACGACTCGGCCACCGAGGCATCCCGGGAGAACTGGCACACCTCCAGCACTGCGGGCAGGGACGGGCAGCGCTCAGCGCCCTGCCGCCACCACCCCCCAGCCGAGCCGCGGTCCCCTCCAGCACCGCCAGACCACTCACGCAGCCGTAGCCGGTCCCAGCGCTGCTCCCACGTCTCCATCATGGCCTTCCTCTTCTCCACCAGCTCCATCAGCTTCGCCTTGATCTGCAAGGGGACATCGTCACACGGTGACCCCGGTGGCACCGTCCCCGCCGCGCCGCGCCCCGGCTCCGGCTGCCCTCACCTCGGGCGAGTCCTGGTGCTTGCGCTGCAGCAGCTTCTTGCCCAGCTCGATGCAGGTGGCGAAGCTCTTGCCCCGGGCGTCCACCTCGGCCCTGATGCCCTGGTGGTACTTCATGAGCAGCTCCACCGAGGAGACATCCCTGGAGACAGAGAGGTGCCAGCATCAGCAGTGGCATCGGTGCTGGGTCCCGGCAAACACCGCCCGGTGCCTGCCAGGCACAGCCATACCTGGGTTTCTCCTGCGTCTCGATCTGCCGGACGGTGCTCTCCATCCAGGAGAGCAGGTCCCGCGCCATGCCGAAGAAGCGATGCTTGTCGGCTGTGTCCACCAGCCGGGCCCGGCGCCCGCTGCACGCCTCCAGCAGTGCCCGCAGGGCCCGTGCCACCTCCTGCTCCTGTTCCTGGATGCCGGCTGCCTTCTCCCCGGCGTAGGCGGTCTGCAGGCGTGCTGCTGTCTCCCGAAACTGCTGCACCTGCAGAGCCAGAGAGCGTGGGGGATGCCGAGCGCCGGCGGCAACAGCGCTGAGCATCCCTGCCGGCTCCGGGGTGCAGCCTCACCTGCGTCTCCAGCAGCTGGAGGTCGCGTTCAAAGGCGCTGTGCATGCGGTGGAAAGCCTCCACCGTGCCGGCGTCCTCGCCCAGGTCCTGGGGCAGCTCCTGGCGCCGGGCGGCGATGAGGGCCAGCAGCTCAGCACCATCGTAGAAGTATTTGTGCAGGTCGTAGGAAGCGGCGAGGAGCTGCATGCGGGTGTCGATCAGCTCCAGGAGGTCGGCCCAGCTCTCGTTCAGTCCGTCCTTCCACTCAGCCATGGTGGCCGCCTCCGTGTGCCCCGCATCAATAAGGTCCTCGATGGTCAGGTTCACCCGGTCCACGCGTTCCTGCCCCACGTTGCCCGTCTCCCGCGCAAACTCTCGAAACTTCTCCCGCAGGAGCTGCACGGGGGAGAAGAAGAGTCGAGTTTGCCCCCCCCCAAAACCACACGCCAGCACCGCCACGCCTGCCCCGGCACCGGCACCCTCACCGTGACGTGGTCCAGGTCCTGCCCCATCTCCTGGGAGGAGGCGACCACGTCGCGCTCGGCGATCCACTGCTCCAGGTCCTCCACCTCCCGCTTCAGCTGGAAGAGGTGGGACATGTTCTCCAGGCGCCGGCGGCGCTCCTCGGCCGCCTCCTTCAGCCCCGCGTAGTGCTTGTCCACCTGGCCCTGCAGCCGGATGATCTGCTCCCTGCGCGGCCCCGGCACACAGACACCCCAGTTCTCACCCGGGAAAAGATGCCCCCGACCCCTCCGTGTTGCCAACCAGGGGTTTTTTGGGGGAGGGACCCGCTCTGCGCTCCCCACGTCCCTCTGCCACCACCTCCCTCTGCCACCACCTCCCTGACGCAGCCGGGGCAATGCTGCCGGAGCTGACGCCACCGGAGCTCCAGCCGAACCACCCACCCCCCCCCGGTGCTGAGGGTACGGGGCTGCCCCGAGGGACAGGGGACACACGGCAGTGGCACCTACCCCTCAGGGTGGCCAGCAGAGAGCAGCTGCTGAGCCCTCCCTGCCAGCTCCTTGATGGTTTGGCCGTAGTCCTCAATGGAGCGCTGCTGCCGGACGTGTCTCTTCAGCATCAGCAAGCCGCTCTCCTCGTCCTGCGGCATGGCGGACACCAGCGCCCATCAGCACGCAGCACGGCTGTGGGACGGGGACCGGGGTCCAGCCCCGGCGCCCACCCTGCGGGCGCGTCCTGCCCCCGTCCGGTGCAGCGGGGAGCAATGGCGAGCTCAGCAGGGCATGGCACGGCACGGCATGGCTTGGCACAGGATGGGATGGCATGTGATGGCATAGCATGGGATGGATTGCAATGGCCAAGCATGGCATAGCACAGGGTGCCCCGTAATGGCACAAGGTGCCATGTAATGACAAGGCATGGCATGGGATGACCTATAATGGCATATAACGGCACGGCACGGCATGTAATGGCACAGCATGACATAGCATGGGATGGGCACTGTGTTATAGCACAGCATAACACGGCATGTAATGGCATGGCGTGACATGCCATAGGATGGCACGTAATGGCACAGCACGGGATGGATGCCGTGTAACGGCACAGCATGGCACACGATGGTGTGTAAGGGCATGAGGCAGCATGGGACAGGCCAATGTTCAACAGCACAGCATGGCACGGCCTGGGTTGACACAGGCTGTCCCAGCATGGCAGAGCACGGCACGGCACAGAGCCCCCCCAAGACACGGGGGCACCACACGGAGCCACCCCTCACCTTCGGCTTCTCCTCAGCTCCCATGAAGAGCTCCTGCTCGCTGACCCAGGTCTCAGCCTCGCCAGCATCCAGGTAGTATTGCTGTGCCTCGCCGGCCTCCCGCAGGCGCCG